GTGTTGCAAATTAAGCTTATTATTTATTATTTGCCTAGCTCACGTATTGATTTAATATATTTATTAAAAAATTATTATTTTTAAATTTATAATTATATAAAAAAATAAATTTAAAAATATAATTGTATAAACTCCATTACCATTTTTAAAAACTCATAATATGCTCATCACTTTCCATATATATATATAAAAGCGTTGTGTTACAAATTAAGCTTATTATTTATTATTTGCCTAGCTCACGTCTTGTCGTTCATGAACACAACTACAAAGATGGACCTTTTTTCTGTTTTGGTTGATAAAAAAAAATAAAAATTCCCCACGAAGATGGCAATAATCGTAAATTTTTTATGGAGGGTAGAGTGTTCGCAGTGTGGTTTGATTTGAACTTAATATTTTTTAAACAAATCTAATTTAATTGATTAATAAAATTTTTAAACCAATTCAATCCATTATTATATGATAATCAAACTAATCCAACTTAAATTGGATCGGTGTGATTCAGTCGGATAGATCGATTTTTAACATTATTAAATATATAAGATAATATAAAAATATTTTAATATCGAATAAAAAACATAACCATAAAACACATTAGTATGCAAATCAGTAAAAATATAATAAAAAGTACAAATTATAAACGAGTTCTTATACTCCTTTACATTTATAAAAATTGAAAAGATCTGAAAATTCTTCTTGGTTACATCACTTAAGGCACCAAGAACAATAAAAGATGACTTCAAGTTTCTAGCATAACGTAAATAATTCTTAAAAATTAAAATTAGTTTTTTTCTTAATGTATTAATAATTTAATATCATCTTCTAAATCATGTTAAAAGTGAATAAAATTTAACATGAATATCACTAAAATTGATTAGAAGCATTCATAATCAAAATTTAAAACTTCTAAACTAAATATCCAAGAATAGTAGAATATCAAGATTAATTTTATTATATAGTTTTAAGACTTTTAGAATGATATTTATTTAAAATGTAGTTAGGAGAATCATAAGCTTCTTTTAAGAATAAATTAAAAATTTAGAGTTCTAAGAGTAAAGGCATAAACTAGTTCTGAGGGGATAGAGTTGCAGGTGAATTAAAAATTTAGAATTATGGTTAGAGTGCATGATTAAAATGGAAAATTAATTTAGGGAATACGGAGACGTTCTATTTTTATTTTTTAATTAAGTTAATGGAATTATTATCTTGTAAAATAAAAAAAAAAGAAATTTTAAAATACTACAAAAAATATATTATATTATTTAATTAAGTT